AAATTTTGGAAGCAATATCCTCGCTCTCTTGGCATTTTTGTTGGTAGAAACATGTATTGACTGCTGCAGATGACTCTTCGCACACTCAAACTGGGAAGACATTTCCATGACATTCAACATTGATCACTGTATTTATGTATTCAAATCTGGTCGTAATTATTTGAACCTTACCAAATTGAAAGGAACTCTACTTAAGAATGTTGTCATCTAACTGGACAACTTCCCTCCCATAGTTTACCAATATCTGTGAAAGTATTAGCACTCCACAGGTTAAAAGGAACACCCTCACAAGTAATCCACACACACCTTTCTTGTTTGATATACAACATTTTTTCCCAATCACTTATAGTTTCACACCATTCAAAAATCCATTCTTCAATGGCTATTCTGGCTTCCTTCATATGTAGGTCTGATTTGAAAGTTAATACTGCTAACCTTCCACCTCTATCTCGCACTCTTACCTCCTTCAGGTCTCTTCTTTCAAACTCCTTCTGAAAATCAATGAATGAGGAAAAAGTTTTCATCTTCACAATCAGACTTTCATATAGCCAACCACTACCTGACTCATAAGCCTTTAGCACCACTTTCGGTTTCTCCTAGATGACTCCATTTTGAACAGCTTCAGCATAAGATCTTCTTCCTTCATTCCCCATTTGTTGCTGTGAATAGTTCATCTTTTGATATTGCCTCATCATCTTACCCCCTCTGTTCCTCATTATGAGTTGTTTCTGCACATCTTTTTCATACTCTGTGTTTCCCAGTGCAAAAATCCTCTGTTGGTGCTGCCTCACCATCGGACCACCATTGTTCTTCGCTGAAGGTTGTTTATGTTCCCCTTTTTTATAATCTAGCTTCTTCACCTTCAGAGCTTTATCATCGCACCATACACTACAAGAAAATACACTTTTGTCGACTAACATATTAGTCGCCAAAAGTATTGATTGTAGTCGCCGAAACACATTGCCGACTAAATAATTTAGTCGCTGGCTTTGCCGGGGATACATAGTCGCCGAAGGAATTAGCGACTAAAATACATTTAGTCGCCATAAGTAGTATAAAAATACCGACTAACCTTTTAGTAGGCAAAAATAATAGGTATTAGCGACGAAAAGAGCCTTAGTCGTTGATAAGTGACATTAGCTACTAAAATGTTAGTTGCCCAAACGGTTCATTAATTCCTTTAACTCACATATTTAGCTACTAAAAGTTTTTGTCGCCAAAAAGTGAAATATCTTCGGCGACGACATTGTTAGTCGCCAATAGTGAAACTTTCAGCTACTACATGTTTAGTCGGCCATAGTTATTTTATTATGTTTTGGCGACTAAAACGTTAGTCGCCAAAAATATGTTGGATTTTAGCTACTAACCAGTTTAGTTGGCCATAATTATTTTCTTATGCTTTCGAGTTGTTTGCCTATTAAATATTTAGTCGCCAAAAGTTTTTTGATTTTTACCTACTACACATTTAGTCGCCATAACTGTTTTCAGGTTGTTTTGGCTAGCAAATTATTAGTCGCCAAAAGTCGTTTGAGTTTTAACTACTAAACATTTAGTCACCATAACTGTTTTTGATTCATTTTGGCCACTAATATTTAGTCGCCAAAAAATTTATTTCTTTTTAGCTACCAATTGATTTGTCACCAAAAGCGTCATTTTATGTTATTGTTTTGTTTGTTTCATTTTACTAAATTTCGTCCGAACTTGTATGTATCCACCGCAACCTGTACGTATACAACCTATATATATTATCACCTATTCCGTAATGCATGTTTCACTTAGAACCATGAAACAAAAATGAACACCTACTATATATATTCCAACTACAAATAATAACGTAACCTTATGTACGAACCAACTATATATATTTCAATTACAAATAATAACGTCATACATTCCAAATACATTACCAAAACAATGTCTTCTATACACAACATTTTTACTATATACTATGCATTGTAATGACCATTTGACAAGGTACAAATTACTATGGTAATATGTACTACGACAAAAGATAATCTATATTAATTAATACCAGAGCCATTAATACAAGCTCCAAAAATACTATGTACCCCACTATAAATTATATGTACGATGCATCCAAATTCCACGGTTCATTGATGCTATACCACCAGAGCATTTAATACAAGCTCCAAAAATAGTTTGTACCCCGCCAAAAATTATATGTTCGATGCATCCACAGTCCACACAAAAAGTATAGGACGACAAAAAACTTCCCAACTTTGCATAAGTGTGAATTATCTTTCGGGCAAAAAAATAGAAGATCCACATGTCAATGCCAAAAGCCATCTACACAACAAAAATTACACCCACTAGTTCCATTGTAAACAAAAAGTTATAGCCATCTACAAAACACAAATTGCAAGCATGTCAATTGTAATTGCAATTGTATGTAAATATTGTTTGAATTTAGGAATTTCAATATAGTTTCTTTACACGTTCAGTTGTATTGAAAGTGCAAAGAAATTTCCAAGTCAACCCCAAGTCAAGTTTAGTCTAATGTGTAAACATATGTATATTTTATTCATAACTGTACATATATAGAGATGCTTATAGAACATATATATATTTGTAAGCTTTAATATATTTGTATAAGCTTTATGCATTTTTCACGCCAACTCCCAACGTACACGTGCTAATTACGTCTCGTCTGTCCCCACAGGTCGTCTTTGACATGAGGAAGCTACCCGTGCCATCAATATAGTGGTTCGGGGGTTGCTCTCAATTTTCGGCCCTCGAAGGCCTTTTTTCGGCTAAGTTTATGGCGTTTTCACGCCAACTCCCAATGTACACGTGCTAATTACATCCCGTTTGTCCCCACAAGTCCTATTTGACATGAGGAAGCTACCCGTGCCATCCCGACAGTGGTTCGGGGAATGCTCTCAATTTTTGGCACTCGAAGGCCTTTTTTCGGCTAAGTTTATGACGTTTTTCACGCCAACTCCCAACGTACAAGTGCTAATTACATCCTGTCTGTCCCCACAGGTCCTATTCGACACAAGGAAGCTACCTGTGCCATCCCCACAGTGGTTCGGGGGCTGCTCTCAATTTTTGTCCCTCAAAGGCCTTTTTTCAGCTAAGTTCATGGCGCATTTCATGCCAACGCCCAATGTACACGTGCTAATTACGTCCCGTCTATCCCCACAGGTCCTACTTGACATGACGAAGCTACTCGTGCCATCCCTACAGTGGTTCGGGGGCTGCTCTCAATTTTCGGCCCTCGAAGGCCTTTTTTCGGCTAAGTTCATGGCGCATTTCACGCCAACGCCCAACGTACACGTGCTAATTACGTCCCATCTATCCCCACAGGTCCTATTTCACATGAGGAAGCTACCCGTGCCATCCCTGCAGTGGTTCAGGGGTTGCTTTCAATTTTTGGCCATCGAAGGCCTTTTTTCGGCTATGTTTATGGCATTTTTATATGAGCCAATTCACCACCTGGTTAGCATGTGAGAGAACACATTTAATTGATTTTAGCCTGAACACAGGCGCATCTGCAATTGTATAGCTGGATGCAAGTGTAGGCAACAAGGTGAGGATTCATGGATTTTTCTCCCTTACTTTAATGAAATTTGGTTGTTTATTCCTATGGCTATGTTCTAACTGATTTCCTTGATTTTATTCTCTAGTCTGAATATACTTCTTATGAGTCAATAAGCTCTTGGAGAACAACCAAGAACCAAAGAAATTGTATGATAAGATGATTAGAATGCATGGCACACTTAGAAGGCAGCTTAAGATTGGGAAAATGTGGAGGTTTTAAGGATCAAAACTTTATTTGCATCAGCTCCTGTAACTAGGTCAAATCAGGTTGATAATCTGTTGTGGGCAGCCTCAAGCACAAGTGTTCATCCAACCAGGTTGCATCAGGTTGCATCAGCTCCTGTAACTAGGCCAAAACAAGTTTAAAATGTGGAGCATTGTTCATCAAATTAGTGTTGGTTTTATTTGTATAGATTTATTATTAAGAAACTTAATATCACATATTCATTCTTCACAGTTAGAGTTTTGAAATCAAAGCTCCTTTGTACTAGTTATATTGTACTAGTTATATTGTACTACATCAAAATTCATTCTACTTTCTCTTGGTTTCTTTAATTACTCTTAAATCTGAAATGACATTCAATTGGACTTGGTTACCTTATGGAAATCAGATTACGGTCCTTTGTGTAATGTATCAAAACACCAGGTTGGCTACTGCAATGTCTACGCACATTATGCCTCAAAACCTATTCAAAGCACATCACGAAAAAATATTTGCATACCAACTTTAGAAAACAATTCTATGCCAATATGATCCATATTTTTTGTAGAAGTTATAGTAGCTTGTTAAGGAAATTCTGTTTACCGAATAGTAGGATGACCATCTGAACCTTGCAAGAGGGTTGTGAGCCGTGACACCACGTCGTTCAGATGATTGAGTTGTACTTGTTGTGCCTCCCGTGCTTTTTTTTCTTTATCGACTTGTTTGATCAGCTGCTCTCTTCCCTCGTAATTTCCTCCCGATCTCTTTGCCACTCCTCTTTCTCCTTCAATAGCTCCTCCCGATCTCTTTGACGCTCCTCTTTCTCCTTCAATAGCGCCTCCCGATCTCTTTCACGCTCTTCTTTCTCCTTCAGCAACTCCTCGTGATCACTTTGACGCTGCTCACGAAGAACCTCTAGTTCCGCTCTCATTGACTCCATATGTTTATCACGTGCTCGTGCCGCACTAGAAGCTGTGGAAGAGGGTTGTGGGCCTATCCCACATCCACGCAAGTAATTTTTTTTTTCCCCAAGCACTTGCCTTGATATTTCTTCGTGGGTCAATGGCAAACCCGTATCGGTGGTTGTTAGTTGTAGATTCACCATATCATCCTGTAATGGCAAGAAAACAATAAAGTCGAGATGGGAGATGGAATTTAAAATAACTTTATTAATTGATATGCATCACACTTGGTTTCAACATTCAATACTCATATGTAGCTCACCACATTTGGGGTCATCCAATCTCCCGTCTTCTTGGACTTGTGTGCTTTCTTATAAAATTCAGGGAAATCTATATCTCCATCCTCATTTGCCTGTTACGTTTGGAAAAATTCCATTGACGAATTAGTACATGGTAATATTCAAAATCAAGAAGAATCAATCATCTATTACATTACTAAATTAACTTCTCACCATAAGCGACATTGCTATAGGAAATGATCGCGATCCACTTGTATGATTATAGGGGAGCATACCCCTATTTGCTTTACCAGCCGTAGAGCGTTTCTACAAAAATATGAAAAAAGAAAAAAAAAAACATGCTTTACTAAGTTTCAGTGAAGAAGTTTTACATATATTAGTGAAGAAGTCTTACATATTAACACATAAATTAATTTCAATAATGGGGTTTCTAATTAATTTGTTACCAAGTGAGATTCGTCTTTCCAAGCAACATCAACCAGATATTTCCAGTCCTCCAAGCTCACTCCACTAGGCGGATGACTATAGGGTCATCAACACACTTTTCCTCAAGTTCGAGGAACTCTTGCTTTAGATTGTACCTCCAATCCTTGTATAGCAAATATGCCTTCCTATCGAGGATCTGTTGAGCTTGTTCATCATTATCAAAATCATTGCTGATAACAAACTTGTCCTATAAACATAGTAAGAGAATTAGTAGAACAATTAATTTAACCAATTACAAATTACATAATAAACACATTATGGCAAGATGAATCTCATACTAGCACCGCTTGGACGACCGCATCTTTGGTACTTTGATCAATTTTTATCCATGACTTCACGCTCTGAAGAGGGCACAACCGTCTAATTTGAAGGCCCAACTCATTCGTCGCTGGGATGGCATTCCCTCCTGTGATTGCGTTCAACACCCGATTGACATAGACGTGTAATTTCTCCCCTTTTTTCCTAGCAATTTTTTTCTGCACGCCTTTGCCTAATGTAGGTCCCCGAACACGAGTTGACCTCGTTTTCCCTGGTACAAAAGGGAAAGGTAGTTAAAATTACAAACAAAACAAAACCAAATTTTTTTTAAACAACTAAATAGTATGCTCTTACCCATTCCACCTGGTTGCGTCTCCTCCACCACAGTTTGTGTATCATCTAGTGGTTGCGTCTCATCAGAGAACGTCATCGGGGTGCCAATCTCCTGTGCACATGCTTCAGATGTTGATAGTACGTCGCCCTGTCTTGATTCCCGGAACCATTGTACCTACATTACGTAACAAACGTACATGAGTAATAAACATCGCATACATTAGTAGTGTAACTGCTGCAATAATGACACAACAATGTCTACTTAATAATAAATTGCTCGTTAATCAATGGTAACTAATAAACTAAGAGAACATGATGATGATACAAAAAGAAACTTCTCAATTGTCCATTGTTCATTTAATATACTCATTACCCCAACAAATTTTGGAATTATTATTAACAACAAAATTTTTAATAAATTGTTGTGGCCTGCAATAACAAACCATTGATAAGAACAACTTAGCTACAACATCAATTTGTTTGTATGGCATTACTTTTTTCATTAATATCCATAATTCTTACCTTAGGAATTTATTCAAGGCCCTAGTACTATGAATTCTGATGACTATTCAAAGTGTATTGCACATCATGGTTTTCTATAGTTGTCTACTCTCAACTGCAAAACTGAAACTTTTGCATAAATTTCCAGTATTTATGCTATTCCCTCCTTGTGTTTGTGCACATATTTGTCTCAAATTTGATATGGAACCATCTTGGTGCACTTTTGTGTCTCTGTTTCTCATGTGACTCTGTTATAAGTTTTCCATCTCGATCAGAAACTTTTGCTGCTATGTGTAATTCAGCCATGCAGAAGCTAGTATTCTCCTATGGGATTTGAAGAACCAACAGATCAATTGTAATTGCAATGGACTGGAAAAGTATTGGTGATTCCATCCATAATGAGCCCATTGCAGGGCCTGTTACTAAGAAACGGCTTCCAATAAAGGTTAGGCAAATCCCAGATTGTTTTTTTCTTCTTCGTAGATCATTACCCTCTGCAATTGGCTTTGTACGGGGCATGGATTGTTGCTGGAGTTGGTGCAGGGATGCTGGCAAAAATCTGGATAAACAAGAAGGTCAAAGGTATGCCCTTCATTAGCCTAAGGATGTGTTTGGATTTTGGATTTGGGAAGGGATTTGTGGAGGGAAAGGAAATGTGGAGAGAAGCAATAACATTGTAACTGTAATATAGCCGATAATGAACATTACCCTTCCCATCTATAGAACAAGGATCCCGAAATTCTCTGTCAGCCCTCAACTGTGCTCTTTTTCAATAATTCATTATACAATTTAAAAGTGCCCAACTGAGCTAACAATTATACAATATTCTGATTTAAACATCATGGTAATTCAAAATTGAAAGGTTTGTTGACATATTCAAGACAGCCTGTAGTAAGGAAATAACGTAGTTAATGCCTAACAACTTACCCAGGTGAAATGCTTCCCACAGCCAAAACTACTAAAGAAATGCTCCCAATCAAGTATGGCACAAAGAAGCCCCAATCCTATGTGACAATTACATGTGGATAAGAATGTTAGTAGATGTGAAAATGCCTCAATTTCCTTCCATTCTCTTCACAAAAAAATAAAATAAAATGTATTAGTCTGACAGCCTAACCATAATACACATTAGTGCAAAACAAATATCTTTATTCATTACCCAGATGAGTAGAACATTAAAGACATTAGAATCATTACTCACATTAAAACATATCAAAAGTCAATGAAGCAGCCATCTCATAAGAAAGGAATGAAAGAAGCTTCTATGAGCATAATCCACAGCTACAATTGTACTTCCTTTATCCTTTGTTCCTTGAAACTTACAGAAAATAAACAATAGACAGGTTAAAAAAAGAGAAATTCAGAACTATACATAATATGAATTTGAAATTATTTCTTATGATAGTTTATTAATGTTTATGAACATCTACAGAGAAAGAGGATAGAGGATATTATGTGAAGTTACCAACGGTACCATAGGCAACCAAACACTTTGAGATGTATAGCCAAGTTTAGTGTGATATAACAATTCAAAATGAGAGCAAATTGATAGAGAAACAATAGGAAGCCTATCAACCATCATAGGGTTGATAAGAATTCAGATGATGAAGATTATTGGTAACATGTACAGAAGCAGAGCAGCAGAATCTAAGAACTAAGGGCTAGAGACCTGAATGTGGTTGAAAATGAGGATCAAGCCTATGCCAACACTCAAAAGCTGAGTCACTAGCTTTACCACATATCTGACAAATTGTTCTAAAAGGCTACCTGGTGCGAGGTTGAGTTTGGGATCGACTTCGAGAAGAAGAAAATATGTTATGAGCTAAACAAGTTCCATGAAAATTGCCTCTGAGACTAGAGTGAGATGAGCCACGATCATGATGATAAGAAGTAAATCCTTTTGAAGCAGAGGACTCCCTCTGTGTGGCATAAGCTACAGTTAGATCAGACTGTAGTCTCAATACTTCTATGACCCTGGAGGCACCAAACTGAAAGTCACAGAACAGGAAAGTAAGACAAAGGGTCATTCTGAGTTGAATTTCAAGCATTAGCTAGGCCTGAAAAATGGTATCATATCTACTACTGCAAATGAAACACAGATACACCATCCCTCCTACTCACAAAACAACCTCTTTAGCCCTATCCATCAATCTGCCTATAACATCGACCACTAAGGTAAACAGTAAGGGTGACAAAGGGTAACCCTTTGTGAGCATTGATGTATAAAGCTCATTTCATCATTACTTGAAACTTGAAATGAAGGCCATCATTTTAAATGTTTCCACCCTAGTGCAGGGATACATAAAGGAACTCAAAGGCCCACCAAAACCAACAACATTAAAACGAAAGAGAAAACCATGAATATATATACATATCTCAACCAGCTTGAAGTGAATGGCCAAATAAAGTTACAAGAAAAGAAAATAGCACCTCATATAATGCATTAACAACAGATAAGCCTACACCATGTAGGCCCCCTGAGACACTGTAACCACTACTTGAACCACCAAATTTCCCACGAGCATGTAAAATCTGCACAATTTAATCGGTATACATTATTCACACAATCTTTATACAATTAGAAAGATCGTCTCTATCAGCCATGTCAGCTATCGGATATATGTAGGTTGTAACATGTGTACATACATAAAAGCACATATATTTGCAATCTTGTCTTATACATAACACGTACGTGAAGATTGATGTGTCCACACAGCATTGCATCTTATTCATATATCTGTTCTATTAATTAAACACACTATTTTTAAATGTTCTTTGCAAATCTCCCATCAAGAAAACAGAAGTCCATTGCAGTGCCGGCTAATAATACTATTCCGGGTGAAATTCCATCTTGATGAAACAATATAACATGCTCAAAATTTTGTGCAAACATATAGTAAAAAGAATCAAAGTGGCCCCTACAGAACTATTCCGGGTGAAATTTCATCTTGATCCCATAGCCACGCAGTCTACTTAGAACGTTAAAATGGAATTGGTAATTTATGCAACAATACTGTCAAGACAGTTTCCAAAGAAGATTTTTTTTGTTACTGGATGCAAGTCGATTGGAATCTGCGATGCACAAGTGAAACATGAAAGTAAGTGAAAAGTTGCAATAGCACATGAATGTTAGCTTAAAAGAATTGACACCAAGCAAAATCTAGCAACATAAAGTAATTGCAAAGTAGTATTTTGAAAGCAAAATCTAACAACCAAACAGCAGCACACAGCACGTTACAGAGACAGAGCAACACATAGCACACAGTGGCGAACTGTCAAACTCAGCAAACAGAGACAGAGCAGCTGTGCAAATCTGCACAGATTGTGGAAAAAGCAGCCACACAGCACAGCTGTCTGAATAGAAAATCTGAACTAAGTATGAATTTGATTTTCAATTTGCTCTAACAGTTCATACAAATCGTAGAGGAAATTAAAAGTACAAGGTTCAAATTACATGAAATTGAAGAGTAGGCATAAAATTCAAATTACAATTTCATCAATATTCTTAATTGCCCCCATGACATCAACAAAACAAGCCGAACAAAGAAACAAGTTGAGTTAAAACTCTAGGTCCGTATCTGTATCAAAATCACTTTCCATCTCATCTTCTTCGTCATCACCCGAGATTGTTAGTTCATCGTCGTCATCGCATATGAAAGCATCATCCATAACACCCTCCGGTTGTACACGCTTATTGGACTGAGAAACTTCCATTGAAATAATTTGCGGTTCAATGTCATCCCGACGTAAAACAACAACATCATCAATAGGCTCAGTTGGTACAACAATACTATTTTCATCATCTTGCAACACTTCATCAAATTCTGGCACATCCAGCTCTGGCACATCCCAAATTCGTCGATGTTGAAACTTTTCTACGACTCGCCAATTCGGCCCTAACTTCGTATCAGGAACGT